GTGTGTGTGTGAGAGAGAGAGAGCTACAATAATTACATGTAATCAATAACTAAAAGAAAGACTAATGTGATCTTGTCGGGGTATTTTTTTTTTTTTCTTCTTTTCACCTCTTTTATTTTCTTTTATTCTTATTTTTCTTTTGGCAAATATCACTTACAAGTAGTTTTATTACAATAACTCTTACTTCAAATAAAATCAAACTAATAAATCCAAGATCTTAAAAACCTTTATGCCACTAAACCAATTTCCTTTTAATCAAATAACATATCCACAATTCTTATGCTTGGGAATATAAAAATAATATAATTAAATATAGCAACAAACAAAAATATAGTGCCAGAGATTACCTCAACCGGGCTTACTACACCCACACCGAGTCACCACCATCCGATGACGCGGGATCAATGATCAACCTTCAATCTCAATGGGGAAAGCAAGTTTAGGTCAAGTCACACCAATAGAAGATGAACATCTTTTATCACAAACTCAAACCCCAGGTGAATTTCCTTAGCAACCAAGTTTAAGAAAGATTGATTATCTTTTTGCTATACCCTAAAACCCTTAGTCATAAATCCATAGTTTAAATATTGGAGAGGGAATAACCCCATAGCCTAAACCCTTAGCCTATTTTTTTTACCATGTGGGAGAGAGAGATCAAAGTTGAGATAATAGGGCGTGTCCCCTTTGGGCTTTCAAGAGAGTTAGAGAATTTTTATTAAGAGAGAGATAGAAAAATAAGGTATAGAGATTTTGGGTAAAGACAATATATTTTTATATGCTTTAAATAATATTAGGTTTCTTAGGTTTTTCATTGACTTGCATCTATTTGTGAGATTGAATATGAACCATTGATATTGGGTGACTTGTGGGATAAGAGATTTTAGTCATCCATTCCATAAATGGGGCATCAACATAAAAGGTGCTAAAACATTTATCCCCCTCTTTCCTTTAACTGTTTCCCATCAATATAAATCAAATAAAATAATATTAATCATAATATTGTGTTTTATCCAAAATTATACAGAAGCCTTATCGAGCATTTTAAAATATTTACTCAAATATTCTTTAACCACTTATCCCATAATAGATAAGAAACCCCTTACAGTGGGGCACGCCACCCCATGAGAATAAGAAGCCCTAAAAATTGGGGCATGCCACCTATGTGGCTTTTGTTGCCCCCACCAATTTAGGGCATGGTGGGCCCATGTGCACAATGGGCCCCCAATGTCAATAAATGATTTTATAATTAACTTGAATATTTAAAATGTTAAAAATCTATATATTTATTTTTTTAAATCCACATTTTAGAAATAAAATATCCAGAGATCTAAAAAAATTCAAATAATAATTCTAAAATCATATCATCATAAAATAAATACAATTAAATTCATTAGATGAGATAAGGATCTATATGGTATATAAATAAATAATATGGGGCACTTCACCTTCAACTGTGGACTACATACCACATTTGTTTTATCAAACCGACCTAATATTTCCCATGACCCACAGTCCATACAGGGGCTCATTAGTGGGTCACCAAAGTCTGGCCTATGAGCCAAGGGGTCGTAATCTCAGTCTGTGGATTTCAGGTTCTGCCCTAGAGACGGGCCAATATCACCTAGATCTGATGCGACCATAATTCCTATGATCATAAGGGTATCTCTCACGCATGCATACGCTTCACCCTGAAATGTGGTTTGCTTTCCCAAAACCGTCTATCAATATGCATGTTATGTAATGGTACATGGATGGGGGCTAAATCTTATGATGCATAAGGGTATATCTCGCACATGCATACGACCCTAAAAAGTAGTTTTTTTTTTCCAAAATAGTCTATCAATATACATGCCGTGTGATGGTACAGGGATGAGGTTTTGACCCCCGTCTCTAAAGGTCACCATCACACGGTCTTTTGGCTCACTCATCCGGACATACTCCGACCTCATCAAGGGATAACCCATTAGAACCTTTATCCGTTTATACTCTATGCCCGGGTAACATGAGTTTTTCCCAACCGACTGGTCTAGACCGTCAAGCACAGTCTGGTATCAGCAAATATCATTTGTTAGTATGGTCTACTAGGGACCATACTCTCACAGAGTTTGTGTTTCACTATATCATTTCATTTTGCAAACACTAATAAGGCCTTTAATGACCACACTCACCCAACAATAACTACAATAAAAGACTTTCAGATTGTAACACAATAATTAGATATAGAAGATTAAAGATGATTTTATAATAAAGAGCTAATTGAATATAAAAATATTTGCATCCCTCAGTCCCATAAATAGAAAGCAAAACTAGATAAAGATAGGTTTACATGTAGTATCTCTCTATGTCTATGTGCTCTTTGTATCTCTTCATCTCTTGTCTCTCACCTTATACATACAAAGACAATACCACTTACCTCAAACTTAGCTAACTAAATATTGATATACCATGTAGTGCAAAGAGAGAGATACATATTCCCTCGACTTATTAGTTTAGTTTCACAACATTTTATGCAAAAATAAAACACCGAACTAGAAAAAAGCATAATCAAGCAAAAGAAAAATAATAATAAATAAAAATAAAATAGGATATAAACTAAGTTGAGTGTGAAGCAGAGATAGAGAGGAATTGCTACACTCCATTTATCACATTTATTTTGCTTAAAAATGGAAGACCCAACAAAAAATGCTAAAACAATGAAACTAAAAATAAATTAAAAGTGAAGTAGTAAAATAACCAACTATGCAACACAATAACCCCGAAACAATAACCAAAGTGAAAAAATAAAGTCGAGCATAATGAATCACAAAGAGAATGAAATAGAAAAAGATATACATAAATAGAAAAATTTGTAAATAGATAAAGATACAAAGAGAGAGAGACATAAAAAGAACAAAGAGAAAAGTACATATAACAAAAACGATAAAATCCTTAAAGAGAGTAAAAGAAAAAATAGAAGAGAATATATAACTCAAACATACCTAACTCAATGTTGAGATACCAACGTATATGTAGCAAAAAGAGAGCGTCAAAGTGAAAAAATAAAATCAAGCAGAATGAATCACAAATAATGAAATAGAAAAAGATATACAAAAATAAAGGAAAAATTGTAAATAGAGAAAGATATATAGAGACCGACATAAAAACAACAAAGAGAAAAGTACATAAAATAAAAATGATAAAATCCTTAGAGAGAGTAAAAGAAAAAATATAAGAAAAAATATAACTCGAGCATGCTTAACTCAATATTGAGATACCGATATACCTGTAGCAAAGAGAGAGAGAGCCAAAGTGAGAAAATAAAGTGAATCACATAGAATGAAATAAATAAAAAAAACACAAAAAATAGATAAAAATTGTAAATAGAGAAAGATACAGAGAGATCAACATAAAAACAACTAAGAGAATAATACATAGAATAAAAATGATAAAATTCTTAGAGAGAGTAAAAGAAAAACGGTAAAAAAATATGTAACTCAAATATACCAAACTCAATATTTGAGATACCAACGTACCTATAGCAAAAAGAGAGATGGTTGAGATACCTGCACCAACCAACAATAAACATTTGTGTTAATAATTCTATATAGAATTACATTAAATTTGAGAGTTTATCTCCCTATATAGAGAAAAACCATAAATATCAACATTTATTAACGGTTCTCTCTCTTTCATTTAATTTTCTCTCCCTACTCCTTAATTTATTTGTCATTTATATCTCCCACATTTAAATTAATCTTTATCATATGCATTCCATTATTTTTAAGAAATTCAAGTATTTTTAAGAGTTCAAATTCTCTCTCTTCAAATGGGGACTCACTCTTTTTTTTATTTTGGCCCTTTCTCTCTCATTTAATTTTCTCTCTCTACTCCTTAATTTTATTGTCATATATATCTCCCACCTCTCTCTATCTTATGGCGTACACAACTATCTTATTATGCATATATCATATGGAAAGTTTAGATAATGATTGATTTTATTGATATGCTATATGTCTTTATTTAAATAGAAACCACAAAAAGATGCATATATCTATCCCAAACTCAAATTCAAGACAGAGAAAAATATGCATATATATCTAAGATTTTGTTTCTCCATTCAAACGTGATAACCACTCTCAATGCATAGAGGCCTCACTCTCTCTCCATCTATTTATCTTATTAGTTAGAGTTTTAATGTTATAGAAGGTAAAAAACCCTAAACTTCTGTAAAAATATGGTCCCTTCTTATTTTCGTGACATATTATCTCTTTATCTATTTTACTCATCAGTTAAAGTTTTGATGTTATAGAAGTTAAAAACCCTAAAACCTCTATAGAAATAGGATCTTTTTTTTATTTTCGCGACACCCCTTAACTATTGTTTAATAATGTAGTATAGATAATGTTGCAACAAACTATCCAATTAAGGTGGACCTCCAAATTTTATCATAACATGTATTTTTAGTGATAATTTTTTTTTAAAATATTTTAAAATCTATTTTTATATCTAATTATAAAATTTTAAACTCTAAAAAGAGTTAAAATCTAAGTAGATTTATAAACATATAAAAATATTGAAAATGGACGGTCCATAAAATATGTTACAAAAAACACTAGTTTTCAGACTCAAAATCTTTTTTTTTTATATTCATTTCGAAATGATAAGTAAGAGGATTTTCCAACATTAAATCAACCTTCTCCAAAATGGATTTTTGAGGTGCAGTGATTCTACATCTTAAAATCGCATATATTTACCCCTTTTCCAAAAAAAAAAAATCATAGACGGTGATGGATGGATGGCTCTTACCGTGGACGACTACGTGGAGAGAATCCCGAAGCTTCTGCCGAAAGCCATTGCGTGGCCATAACGCCTCCAAAAATAAGGAGATATCCATCGATTAGCTAGCTAACCGCCTTTGACTCTGACCTTTTATCCACCGTTTATTTTTATAGGACCGCTAATTCGTAGCCGTCCATAGCCTGCCCCGCTCTGTATAAATGGGGGGCGTTCGTAGAGGATCTGATTTTATTTCTTTGCGTTGGTTGGGTTTTTGATGTGGTTTTGGATTTCCGAGGTGGTTTTGATATCTCTGATGATGGCAGCGAATCAGTTCTTGTAGTTCCTGCTTTTCTTGATTTAGTTCTTGTAGTTCGTGCTTTTCTTGATTTTAATTTACTTTTTTTTTTTTTTTTTTTTGAGATTTCTTGTGTGTTCTTGTTTGTTTTGGTTTCTTTTTTGTTTACTGTGTTTTATGAAGATTCTTCTTTTTAAGTAGGAATATCTGGTCCTCTTCTATTTTAGAGTTTGCCTTTTATGAAGATACTTCTTTTTAAGCAGGAATATCTGGTCTTCTTCTATTTTAGAGTTTGCTCTCATGGAGGTTTATAGAGTGATGGTTCTATTTTTGTTTCAGATTTACTTGAGATCCTACAAGAAAGTGCGTTTGAAGGATATAAGCTCATCCAAGCTCTGTAAGATAATTGATTTTCTGTAACATAAGCTTTTTGGTGCTTCTATGCAGCATCCTCGGATTCTACTCCGGTATTTTTTCTTGGTGATTGCTTGCAGTTTAATTGGTGAGGGCGGTTTGATAGGAGGGTTATATTACGACTCCTCTTGGTGAGGTGTTTTGTAAAATTGTGCTGATAGGTTCCTTTTCTTCTTCACATTTCAAGAGTTTTCTTCATATTTCAAGTGTTTTGAGGTGGTGGCTTATGTAATTGGGTTAATTCTGGTTTAATTCTGTTCGGTTGCTGGGTTTGATCTCCAGAACTCTTCAAGAGTAGTACTCTGGGTTATTTGTGTAACTTATGCTGATGGAAAATGGCAATCTTGAGAAAGTGGTGATGTTCTGCAGTTAGGGGGTTAGTTATTTTAGAAGGCTGGATTGGTTTGATTTCAGATGGTATTATTCTATTTAAGCATTGTTGTGACTTGTCTGCATATCCAGCTCAGTGGATGGGTGGATGGGTTGAAGGGCCGGTTGTTGCAATTATAGGAAATGTGTTGAAGTGCTTATCTCCATCCGTTATTTTCTCAAATGATGGATTCTGAGTTGATCGGGCTTCGGGGAAACAATTATCTCTTTTTGGTCTAAGGTTCACAGATGGTTCATGTTTTTTGGGAAAACAGGTTTCCATTTTGATTTGAAGACAAGTTTCAATTCTTTTAATTGTGGTGGCATGTATTAAGTTTATGGTGAACAAGTTATCTCTGTCTGCCTTTTTGGGATATCTGGTAATTCTTTTGGCTTGATTATACCAAGGTAACTGGTTGGATGCTGCAGTGCATCTACAACAAAAGTTGGTTTCTCATATCCCACTCTATCTGGATATAGAAACCGAGTCCAGTTTGGATCAGGACTGCCTGGGGACAGATCACTATTTTAGCAGATGTGCGATTTGATTTGGTTTGATATTGTTTTTTAGAGGCCTGCTTTCATAGGTGCTGTGACGTGCTTTTCATGGAGGCAATGATGCAGGCATGGATGTACTATTTTGATGTTCCTCTTGAGATTGCTGGTTTCTTTCTGGTCTATATTGAACTATTTTTTATCAGTGGCATATAATTTATTGGATCATTTGCGCTAATCTCGACGACTATATGAACTAAATTTTGACTGGATTGGTTAGGGAGTTGTCTTGTGGCCATAGCGTGTTATTGTAGTTATTTTGGGCGATCTACTGAATTCTCTCACTTTTAGTTATGTGCTTTTTGTTTAGGTTTTCATTTGTACTTGCGGCTTTTCGGAATGGTTGAAGATAGTCATGCGAGATTGCAATCACAACTTAAATTGGGGTTTTCTCTAGTTTTGGGCAGCTTTTATGTTACCTTCCTTTATGAGATTCGACATTTTTAGTTCAGTTTAAATTTGGAGTTTCGGAGATGAGTGGCCATTATTGTCATTTGTTGGCATATTTGATTATAGGTGCATCAAAGATTTGAAGAATGGCATCTGTTTTCTGGTTCAATCAGTTGATCTATTTACAAATCATACCAGCTTGACCCACTCGAACATGAAGCCCAAAGAGATTGTCTCAGGCCTCATACTATTGGTTTGGTTATATTTGAGTTTGATATTTAGTCTTAATTTCTGGAGGCATCTAGTATTAAGCTCTTATCTTCTGTTTCTGAAGTCTTAGTTTGCAATGATTATTCTCCTTAGGTACCATGGTGATTGGTCGTTGCAGACGGTGGCACACCTGGGGCCGTTTTGAGTTTGTTGTGTTTCTGTGTGGATTGACTTATCTGGATTCAACTTTGGTCCTTTCTTGTTGGCTAGCCTAGAGTTGCTTTTATTTATTATATGACGATACTCGTGTGGCCTGGCGATGCTGTAGGTGGGGGAGCTATATCAATTGGTGGTTTGCTTAGTTGGCTTCATGGCTTACTGCTGGTGGGAGGGCTCCATTTGGTATGTTTAAATTATAGTAAAGTGTTATGGATCTCTCAAATGTATATATGCTAGCTGTTGTTGTGTTACGGGTTTTGGTTGCCTCATGTTGCTGGCAACCATATTTTTAGCTGATCTGTATTTGAGTTTCCTGTAGCATTTTGTTGGGTGGCTGGCTGTTAGGTTTCTATATGCTTTATTGCTGGAAGACATGTGGACAATATGAGGTGACGATAGTGCCAAGAACATTCAATTATCAGAGACATTTGTATCATTTATCATTTATGGAACTCTGTTAAATGGGCGTAAGTTATCCTTGATATCTCTGGATGTCAATTTCTTTGATGATACACTCTATATTGGTTTCTGCCTGATCTATGAGGTGCAGGCAACCAGAAGGGTCACCACGAATGGAATGGGGACTGGTGCACATGGTTATTACTTGAGATCTGTTTGCAAAAGATGGTTTGATCTGTCTCTTTACCTGACCTATGACTTGAAGTTGTCTGAGTTGTCTAGTGTTGGATTGATTCTTGAGATATTTATTTATTGGATATTCAGAGATCGGAGGTGGAAGAGAAGGGTTATGGTGATGTTGTCCGTTGGTTCTTTACTTTTTTATTGGTCTGGGTCAGTTTCGTACAATAATGTAGTTTTTGCTCATTGGTTGTAAATGTTTATATGTTGATTGTGAAATCTTGATTTGTATTGATTGTTCTCCTTAGGTACCATGATGATTTGCCCTTGTAATCGATGGGGAACACATTGGACTATTTGGAGTTTGTCGTCTAGCAGTGTGTTTGGTTTTGTTTGGACCCAACGTTTGAACTTCTTTCTTGTTGTCTAGCCTGGGGTTGCTCTTTGTTAATTATATCATTATTCCCTTCTCTCTCTCAATGCTGTAGGTGGGGAACACATTGGACTGTTTCGAGTTTGTTGTCTTATGGTTGGTTTTGTTTGGTCCCAACTTTTGAACTTCTTTCTTGTTGTCTAGCCTGGAGTTGCTCTTTGTTAATTATATCATTATACGCTTGTGTCCCTCGATGCTGTAGGTGGGGGAGCTATCTATCAATCGGTTGTTTGCCCAATGGGATCCATTGTATACGGCTGCTGTGTCAGCTCAATTTAGTATGGTTTAATTATAGTTTAGTGTTTTGGATTTCTCAGAGGTATATACATTGGCTGTTATGTTGGTAGTTTAGGCTGCATCATTGTGGTAGCTACAATATTGTTAATTGATTTGTATTTGAGTTTCTGGTTGCATTTTGCTGGATGACTTGCAGTTGGGTTTCTATAGTTTGAGGTGACTGGAGCTCCAGGAACATCGTTTACCATTTATAGAGCTATGATGAAGCATCATACTCTCTTGATCTCTTTGGATTTCAATTTCATTGATGATACATTCTGCATTGGTTTTCTGCCTGATCTTCGTGGTCTCTGGGTAGTTGTGTCTTTGGTGTTTGTATTAGTGAACTCTCCAGTGGTGGACTAGGAGCGCCAACACACAAGGAATGGGGACGGGTACATTGGGTTGTTAATTGAGAACAGGTTGCAAAGTGAAAGATGGTTTGATCTGTGCCTCTTGTCCTGACCTTTCATGTGAATTGTAGTTTTTTGAGTTTAGTTTTGGATTGATTTTTACCATCTTTTAGTCATCGTTTGGTTTGAGATGGAAAGAGAATCAAAAGTCAACTGAGATATGCATTTTTTGGTTTTTCAGATATTGGAGGTGTGGAATAAAGGAGATTTGGTGGTGTTGTTCATTCACTTCTAAATTTTTTTGGTGGTTCCTTTTGGTTTTTCAGATATTGGAGGTGTGGAATAAAGGAGATTCGGTGGTGTTGTTCATTCACTTTTTATTTTTTTGGTGGTTCCTTTTATTCAATATTTTCTTTAGTTGAGCTCATGTAGGAGTTGTTGTATATTGGTCCATCCCTATACTCTATTCTCTCTCTTTAAATAAGTTCTTGACAATTTGTTGTGTTTGTTACTTTGGTATTTGGGCGTTGCCTCGTATTCTATGTTTATTTTGTTTTCCTTGAGATTTGTATAGTTTGATTATCATTTTGGGCTTCAGCACATTTTGTTATCTGTTGTTTTTGATTTGTGATTGTGAATTCTTAGTTTTTTAATGATTATTCTCCGTATTTACCATGGTGATTGGTCTTTACAGACGGTGGCACACATGGGGCCGTTTCGTGTTTGTTGTCTGGCGGTGTGGTTTGATTCATCTGGATTCAACTTTGGACCTTTGTTGTCGGCTTGACTAGAGGTTCTTTTTGTTAATTATATGTTGACAATCTTGCGGCCTGGCGATGCTATAGGTGGGGGAGCTATATATCATTTGGTGGTTTGCTAAATGGGCTCCATGGCATACGGCTGCTGGGTGGGCTCTTTTTGGTATGTCTAAATTATAGTGCAGTGTGATGGATATCTCAGATGTATACGTTGGCTGTTGTTAATGTTTGGGGTTTTGGCTGCATCATGTTGCTAACAACCATATTTTTAGCTGATCTGTATTTGAGTTTCCTGTAGCATTTTTGGGTGGCTGGCAGTTAGGTTTCTATATACTTTCTTGCTGGAAGATATGTGGACAGTCTGAGGTGACGAGAGTGCCGAGAACATTCAAATATCAGAAACTTGTGTACCATTTACTTCGTATCTTTGGATGTCAATTTCGTAGATGATACTCTCTATATTGGTTTCTGGCTGATCTATGAGGTGTGTAGGTAGGTCCATTCTTGGGGTCTTTAACAGTGACTCTTCTGGACCAGAAACGCCAACACAAATGGAATGGGGTCGGGTGCACGATGTTATTAATTGAGATCTGGTTGCAAAAGATGGTTTGATCTGCCTTTTGCGCTAAACTATTTGACTTGTTGTTGTCTGAGTTGTCTAGTGTTGGATTGATTCTTCCTTCCACCTATAGGTGGGGAAGCTATATATGGACTGATTGTTTTCCCAATGGGCTTCTTGACATACGGCTGTTTGTTGGGCTCTATTTTTTATGTTTTAATTATAGTGAAGTGTTTTGGATCATTATTATTGGTGTGATTCTGTAGGTGGGGAGGCTATATATTTGCCCAATGGGCTCCTTGGCATACGGCTGCTTGGTGGCTTCTATTTGGTATGTTTTAATTATAGTGAAGTGTTTTGGATCTTTCTGTGGTATATTATACACTGGCTATTTTTATGTTCGGGGTTTTGGCTCCATCATGGTGCTAGCAAACCATATTGCCAGTTGATTTGTATTTCAGTTTCTTGTTGCATTTTGTTGGATGACTTGGATTTCTTTATGCTTTGCGAATGGAACATTTGGAAAGTTTTGAGGTGATGAGAGTGCCAGGAACATTCAAATGTCAAAAACATAGTGTACCATTTATAGACGTCTGAAATGAATGGGCGTAAGTTATCTTTAATATCGTTGGATGTCAATTTCATTTATGATACATTCTATATTGGGTTTCTACCAGATTTATGAGGTGTCAGGGTAGTTCCATCTTTGGCGTTTGTAATAGTGACTAGCGCCAACCCAAATGGAATTCTTCGGTGTTGGAGAAGGAGCCCCAACCCAAATGGAATGGGGACGGCTAGACTGGGTTATTAATTGAGAACTAGTTGCAAAGTGAAAGATGGTTTGATTTGTGCGTCTTGCCCTGACCTATGTGAATTGCAGTTGTCTGAGTTGCTGTTGCTTTGATCTATATTTTTCTTTAGTCACCTTTTGGTTTGAGATGAAATGAGGGTGAAGTCAATTGAAAAGTGCATATATTGGTTTTTCAGAGATCGGAGGTGGAAGAGAAGCGATTTGGTGATATTGTCCATTCACATTTACTTTTTATTGGTGATTCCTTTCATTCATGATTTTCTTTAGCTGATTTGCCTGTAGGAGCCATGGTATATTGGTACATCACTATATAGGATGCTATTATGTCGCTCTTATTACGGTCTTGACAATATGTGTGTTTTTTTCATCTGTCTGGTCTTTTCCTCTTTATTCTATATTTTATTATTTGCCTTGAGATTTGTGTTTGTATATAGCTGGATTCTCATATTTGGCTCCAACACATTCTCGTATCTTTCCCCCTCTTTTCTTTCTGACTGGAACATGAGGACAGTATTAGGTGTCACAATTGCCAAAAAGCCCCCAATTGTTATTTTTAAGGTTTTGTGATTTTAATGTATTTTTTGGGAGGGAAACTATAGGACTTGTGATTGTCTGTGTAATGTAGAAGCCCCCAAATTTTTTCCAACAATTTTTTCTCAGTAGATCAAATTATTGAGTATCTTGGTGGTCATTTTCGGGGATCTTTCTTTTTGGTTTGGCTTTCTCTTCTTCTTGTCTATTAAGGTTTCTCCCATTGATCAAGCTAGTTTGTTCTGTTCCTCTGTGGCCCAAGTGGGAGTGGGTGCAAACTCAATATCTGATTGGCCTCGCATTGATTCAACAGGAGATGTATTGCATTATACAATCTGAGATATTTTTGGCTTAGACAACTGGACCAAAAGATGCATTCTTGAGAGAGAAACTACTAGTATGGGATTTTCTTGGGTCTTCTGATTTTTTTAGGTTTATTGGTTCGACTCAGATTTGTATGCTCTTTAGTTTTTTGCTTCAATTTCTTGTGTGCTTTTGATTGTATTCATGTGCTCTTTAAATTTTTTATTTTTTTTTGTCATTTTTGGGTAGCATTTGTGGTTTATAGGATGATGGTTGTGTTTTTATTTCAGCGTACTTAAGTTGTGGCTTCAAAGGTCTATGCTAATCTAATCATCTACCCGTAAGATAGTCCTTTGCGCGTTTTGTTGGGCCATTCTTTCATGATTGTCTCTACCAATACTCCAGTTTTCTCCCTCCGATTCTTCTCTGGTATTGTTTCTTGGTGATTGCTTGCAGTTTAACGGTGACTGCTTGCAGTTTAACGGTGACTGCTTGCAGTTTAACGGTGACTGCTTGCAGTTTAACTGGTTTTGGTGGATTTCGTCAACACTCGAGCAGCCCTCTGACTCTCCTCTAGGTGTGATGTTGTTTTGTGAAGTTGTTAAAGAGGGGTTCTTTTGTTGTTATGTCAAGCGATCATTGGATGAGTTGAGGCATGCATCTTCTATGGATGAAGAGCAACATGTTGAGGTGTTATGTCAACCCATGGATTCCCTGATGGTTTGTAGTGTTTTGGGAAGATAATTACTTCTTGATGCCACTTTTCTATTCCTCTATGGTATAATCATGATCACTATGTGCAATTTTTTGGATGCTTAAATATTGGGAGTACTCTTCGATGATTTCATGAGGGGAGGAACTTTGCTGGATGTTGTTGGGGCTCTTGGCATAAGTTGTTCCTGCATTTGATATCTACCTGGATTTGAATCTGGTTTGCGTTATGGACTCATTTTGTTTGGATATCCATTATGAGATTATAATTGGGTTGGTATTGTTTTTGGAGGCTTGCATTTGCCTTGCTTTCAGGGTTCTGGCTTGTTGAAAGTTTTGTGCCATTAGGTGCCTTGTGATGCTATTATTGGAGGCAATAGTGGAGGCGTACGTGGTATTTGTTCGATGTTCCTTTGAGTTTTCTGGATTTCTTCTGTTGTGTTGAGTTATTTTATCATGAACATCTTTTTTATTGTATCATTGCTGAACATGACAAGTACTGGAGTTGGCTGTTTTGACTGGATTGGTTCTAGAGTTATGCAAGTTTTATTTCTTGTGGTTTAGATAGGCAGCTGAATTTGCAGTTTAATTATTCACCAGAAAAAAAATGTCAGTTTAATTTGGTTTGTTTTTTAAGTTATGATGTGGATGTACATCTTTGATTGATGCATAATGGCTTGTGATAGTTGTGTAAGAACAATAGAGTTACCTACCTTGTCTCTTTGTTTTATATTTTTGTTATGCTACAAAACTTTTTGGAGTTGTCCTTCGATGGTTTTTGTGCCGAAATGTATCCGCTAGAGGTTTGGAAGAAGATTGTTGTAGTCTTTTGAAAAGTTCAGCTGCATATCCAGTCTTCAATGATCTTTACAGGTCTTTATTTGTTCTCGTCCTAGTTACACTCTTATGCATGTCAGTATTGGCCCCCATGTGTTTGTTCAAATCAGTTGTTACCTCTTGTTGCTTGCTCTTCTTTGTGTCGGAGGTTTTTCTCTGCATTGTCATGATTGAACGACTGAAACATGGATTGCTCTGCCACTTTAATAAGATACATGGATATATATGGATGTGTTGAATCATTAGTTTGTTTGTGTTTTAAGATTGTTGGCGTTTTCTTTGTTGCATCAGTTACATGTTGATGCTGGATTCTCCATTGTCGAGCACATTGGGGAGGGAGAGTTGCTGGCAAAATGCAATGTTCGATTTGATGTACATCTTGACCTGAATCCCGTTAATGCATTGTGCGAAGACATTGTGTTCAACAGTTGTGCTTGATTTCATTGGTGCTATCTCAGGAAAATGTGGTGGTGGTGGTCTTTTTTTTTTGGGGGTATTTGTTGGTATAGATGCAAAGATAAGCCATTTGGGTACATCCCAAATTTACTTCTATAGGATTTCAGTGTCATGCGATGGCTTTATGTATGTTTCTGTTTCGATTTTGAAGTTCTTATTTTTTTTATTATTGAACATGTAAATATTTGATGGTGAGGTAATGGTATGCATCTGCGTGCATAGAAATTTAAATTTGATCTCCCATGTTTAGTTAAATTGTCACTCTTAGCTTTTGGAAATGAGATCTGCATTTGTACTTGTATCCAATCGATTATGCGTTCCTAGTCGATGGTCGACAATGTGAGCTTTTTATAAAAAACTAGGTGTTTTTATTTATATGTTTTTTTATCAAAAGTAAATGGCCTTATTAAATTATTTATATTTTGTAAATTTTACCCATATGATATATGTTGGAATTATAAATGTTTGTTTCGAGGGAGTGTATTTGTAAAGAAAAGGAGATGCCATTTGTTAAGTCGATTTCCAATTGTAAAAACATCCAATCACGGGATAATAGCATTATTGTGGGGGTGCGGTAGAAATTTTTGTCGATTTGGATGGGTTGTGTTTTGGAGTGTGTTGCGGTGACTAACTAATTTAAGATCTGTAATTGCATATTAAAGCTGTAATAAAGATTTTATTTTGACCCAGTTCTGGTTGGAATTTGGATGTTTAGTTTTGTGATGTAGCCAACTGTGAGGGTGACATGGAGCGTCGAATTTATTATGGTCTCTGGGTCATTATTACCAGCAAGCAATACTTTTTTCTCTAAAATCTAAGATCATTGCTTTAAAAGAAATTGAATTTTGAGGTTCCAGCAATTATATCGTGTCTCATAAAAAACTTTCGGGTGGTCTTGTTCAATGTTGAGATATTTTCTATGTATTTTAATTTTTTTGTTCTCTTTCCTCCCCCCTGCCCCAAAAAATTGGCCGTTAAGATTATATTTTGCCTCAAAATTTGGTGCCCGTTTGATACCCTTAAAATGGGTTTTCCTGGTGGGAGCAAGTAGGCTGTACGGAAATAGATGAATAAACTATATGGCTTATGCAATGAACATCATTAGAAAGATGGCGTAAAGCTTACATGACAAGCATCTGTTAATTTCATTTTAAATCTGCCTACGAATATGAGTCACTTTGGTAACCAAACATACTTCGATAACCAAACATGGTTGATGTATCTTGCTGTACAAATATGCAAGTAAAACAATTTCACGCGTCTGAAATTTCTTGAAAATGTGTTTAACTAGGAAATTGATATGGGATCTCTATTGCCACACGTGGTTGTTTTTATTATAATGGCCTGCTTCTTGATTTAATTTGAGTTTATATGGTTTTTTTGTGTTTGATTGTTTTGACTTTTTGATTTTTATACTTGTTTATTTTCGGTTTCACGGTTCTAGTTTCATTATGCTTTCATTTTGACTAATGGGTTTTTGAGGTCTTGTGATTACCTTTGAGTGGTGTTATGGTTTTTTGTTTTTTTTTATTTTTGGATTTTGGTGATGCTTCTTGGCAAATCATCTTCCTGATTTTTTACGTTTCTTGATTATAATACTAGGATCGATCTTTTTATAATTCCAATTGTTTTGCTGTGGCATTTTGGTTTGTTTTGGTTTCTTGATTTTACTCTGTTCTATAAAGTTCCCTATATGTAATCACGGGCTCTTTAATTATGTTTTTGTCATTTAAGGTTATCATTGTAGTTCAGGGAGTAATGGTTATATTTTCTGTTTCTGAAAATAGTTGAGACCTTACTAGAATGTGTAATTAAAGGATCTTAATCTACAGTGTAAGATACTCAATTCTTGGTTTCACGGTTCTAGTTTCATTATGCTTTCATTCTGACGAATGGGTTTTTGAGGTCTTGTGGTTACCTTTGTGTGGTTTTATTTTCGTATTTTTTTTATTTATGGATATTGGTGATGCTTATTGGCAAATTACTTCTTAATTTTTTACGTTTCTTGATTATAATACTAGGATCATTTTATAATTCCAATTGTTTTGCTGTGGCGTTTTGATTTGTTTTGTTTTCTTGATTTCACTCTGTTCTATAAAGATCCCTATATGTAATTATGGGCTCTTTAATTATGTTTTTTGTCTTTTTAGGTTATCACTATGGTTCAGGGAGTAATGGTTATATTTTCAGTTTCTGAAAATAGTTGAGACGTTACTAGAATGTGCATTTAAAGGATCTTAATCTACACTCTATAAGATAATCAATTCTCGGTTTCACGGTTCTAGTTTCATTATGCTTTCATTCTGACTAATGGGTTTTTGAGGTCTTGTGGTTACCTTTGTGTGGTTTTGGGTTTTTGAGGTCTTGTGGTTACCTTTGTGTGGTTTTAGGGTTTTTCGTATTTTTTTTATTTGTGGATTTTGGTGATGCTTCTTGGCAAATCACTTCTTCCTGATTTTTTACGTTTCTTGATTATAATATTAGGATCTTTTTATAATTCCAATTGTTTTGCTGTGGTGTTTTGATTTGTTCCCTATATGTAATCATGGGCTCTTTAATTATGTTTTTTGTCTTTTTAGGTTATCATTGTGGTTTAGGGAGTAATGGTTATATTTTCTGTTTCTGAAAATAGTTGAGACCTTACTAGAATGTGCATTTAAAGGATCTTAATCTACACTCTGCAAGATAATCAATTCTCTATAAGATATGTTATGGTGGCTTTATGTGACAATTAAATTTCACAATTTTTTGATATGGTTTAGGGAGTGATGTTCTATTTTGTGTTTCAGAGTCATTTTTGTGTTTCACAATTTGTTGAGTCTTTTTAGGTTTTTGTGTTTCACAATTTTTTGAGTCTTTTTAGGTTATCAATATGCTTTAGGGAATGGTGGATCTATTTTGTGTTTCAGAGAATGCTTGAGTTTGGTTTTGCGGTCTGTTGGTTATTTTTTTGTGGTTTTAGGGTTTCTTTTTTATATTTTATTTCTGAGTTCTTTTAGGACGCCCCTTTGGGTGATATTATTTTGTGAATTTGTCGATGAGGGGTTCTTTTGTTCAAGATCAAATTTCTCTCTGGTTTCCTCTGTTGTTTGGTTATTGAGCTATCATTGTGACCTGATTTTCGAGGAATAAGTTTTGATGGTGGTACTCTATTTCTAGGCCATGTTGCTTTTGTGACACCGATGCCTTAAGCTAATGTTTGCCCACATAAGCTGTTGGATTACTTCTGTCCAGTTTGCCTCAGCAAGGTGTTTGAGATTCAACAATATGTTTTTTGTATATTTCAAGATTCAAGATTATTACTCTGGGTTATTTGCAATCAATTTGATGCTGATTGAAGCTGGCTATCTTGAGATGGTAGTGATGAGGTTTGCAATTGTTTCAAATCTTTTAAGGGAACAAAGCAAATTAGAAGGCGTTATTTCTTTTAATAATCTAACCGGTATGTTTCATGGAGTATTATTGAATTTGCTTATTGGGTTATCTCTTCTGCATGTGCGGAAGATTCGATGAGTTGAAGCACTTGGTGTGACATTACTTCTGATGATAGGCACCATGTTGTGTTGATTATTGGAAATCATGGAGTCACAGATGGTCGTAGTGTTTTGGGAAAACAATTACTTGGAAAAAAACAATTACCCCTTTTGATCGCACATTTCAATTCTTTCAAACTTGGTGATATATATTAGGTGTTCTAATGATCACTAATGACTTGGAAAAATTGCTGGATGTTGCCATGCTCCTACAACAAAAGTTAGTTCTTGGGTTCAATATCAACCTGGAAATGAATCTGCTTTGGACATGGACTCTATCGGTTAGGATAATCCGCATCAGATTTTTTTTTGGTTTGGTATGGTTTGGTATTGTTTTTCATGAGTACTAGCTCATTTCGCGCTGAAACTTTTTGTGCCCATAGGTTCCATGTGATGCTCTTATTGGAGGGAACAATGGATTCTGACATGGTATTGTTTGATGTTCCTTGAGTTTTCTGGATTTCTTGTGCGCTTTGTGTTACAACATTTTATCAGTAACATTTTTGTTGGATCATTTTCAGGCGTTTTGACAAGTATGGGAACTGCTTTTTTTTTATTGGATTGGTTCTGGACTTGTGCGCGTCTGTAGATCTGTGCTGTGGCCATCGGGATCTATTTCAAGTGGTATTGGAAGTCATGCTATCAATGTAATTTGGTTGTATGTTTTTAAGTTTTTAATAATTTGGAGATACATCTTGCAATTGTGCATAATGGCTCTAGACATTCATGTGGAATACTCACATTTAGATTGGGGGTTTATATTTTATGCAACTTTCTTACTACCTACCGTGTACTACAGTTTCCATTCTACATTATTGTTTCCTTTTAAATTTGGACTTTTGTGGATGAGTGACCATTATTGTTATTTGTAGGTGCGTCATAGATTTGAAGAATTGTGGCGGCTGGTGTTTATCGGATGGAGTTCTCCCGTTATGTTTATTAAAATGTTCAGTCGCACATGGACAAGTGGAATTTACTCAATAGGACATGAAGAGATGGTCTTAGATGTCGAACTAATTGGTTGGGATTTTTTTTAACTCTATTGCTTTCTACTTAATTTCTAGAGGTGTTTTTTTGGGTATTAAACTCGGTTCCTGTTATCTTTGTTGCCTGCTTACAATAGTGATTCACTTGCAATTCTTTTGTTTGGTCCATGGATACACATTTATCTATCTAGATGGTGTTTGTCCTGATGCTTATTCTGTGGATCATGTTTTATCAGTTTGCTTGGTTTTGTTTTCCAAATTCCAGGTTGCTCAATGAGGTACATGTGCTTATCTCAAGATTGAATGTTGAAGCTTTTCTTTCTTTTTTCTTTTTTTGGGAGGGGAGAGAGAAAGGGGGGGCGAGCGGGGGTGTTATTTTTCGTAAATGCTGATTGGTTTGGATCCAAACTGGTTTATTTTAAGTGCCATCATAGTGACTTGGATATGTTTCTTTTGAATTTGTAGCTCATTGCAAGTTTGTGGTTATTGGCTTTTTGATTAGGGGATTTACTTCGGCTGGTTTAGTGGTTTGAAAGATCCATATGATTTTATTCCGTTTGTTTTAGAGTAGTATTAATTTGCTTCTTGTTGTCGAGAAATGTAATCATCTCGCCCATGCTTGCGGTTGTTTGAAATAAATCGTTAGGCTAGTCTTCATTGCAATTCCAAGGGTGGTTATCTTATTTTGGCTAACTTCTGTTCTAGCTCCTTCCTTTGAATCTTGATGGTGAATCAAAGGAATGGATGACTAATATCTCTCACGTCTTAAGTCTCCTTTTGACTTAGATCGACGATCAAGATTTGATCTCACTGAAGATGGCAAGTCTTAAGGCATAAAAAATCTATAAAAAGGGACTCTTCTCGGTTACCAAATTCTCTACACACCTTCTCTCTCCTCTCTCTAAAAGTTCTCTCTCTCCCTAGTTGTTAAAAAAGGGGCACACCTCGGATCTAGCTCTCTCTCTCTCTTTTGGTTGCTTCGAACGGGGGCCACGCCCTAAGTAGTAGTTTCACTCTCTCTGAAGTTGGTAAAGGAGAGGGAGCAAACCCATGCTAGGTGTTGGTAAAGGAGAGGGAGCAAACCCATGCGATGTAGGTTGCAAAGGGGGCCAAACAAAGTTAGTAGATTTCTCTCTTTGATTTTTATTTCTTATCTATCTAAAGATCAAGCAAGGGGGTTTGTGTAAGATTAAGGCAGTGAGGCCTTAGGTAGTTAGTTTTAGATCGAGATCCATATACCATTGAGAGGGTTTTATCATAAGTAGGAGAATCAAGAGACCGATGAGATTCGGCGCAAGGTGTACTAAGCCCTCAGTAATTTTACTTCTTTAAAATTTATTTTTGTGTTGAGCTCTTTTATTCCCATAAAGCAATAAATCAATGTTTTGATTTAAGGAATTGTATTCAATAGTGGTAGCAAGTGAGAATCATGTTTCTTTTCTTTTATTTATTTGTTTCAAGGGTTATCTATTTGTACTTGGACGTTGTGAGTGGTATTGTTGGTGCAAGAAAAAAAAAAAAAAGTAAAATTTTAGTTTATATACATCGTGCTTGATCACATAGTCCAACTTTCGTCGGTATCAGAGCTGGATCTACTTGCTGCCTTATTTCTTTTATTTCACTATTTTTGGTGAGTTGGGAATGAGATATAAGAAAGCCCTTGACTTTTGTGGTCAAGAATTATTGGCATGTTCAAATACCGAAAAAGCACTCTGCAGGAAATGGTATTTTGTGCTGCATTCAAGCAGTGATATGAAGAAGATAATGAGGTATTTCTTTGATGCATACTTCAATGATACTATGTATTTATGAGAGTAAGATCTATTTGCAAAATTTCAGTAGGAAATCTTGAGGGAATTGAGAGTTATGGCCTCATGAAAGGTGTCAGTTCTAAGCTTGAAAAAATCTAGGAACTGTCCATTGAGTTCCATGAATTTTTCCACCAATCATATTATTTTATTTTTAAGCTGAAGTTTGACTATAACTCATCAAATTGAGTCTACATTCAAGAAAAAATAGTTTCATCAAGAAAATCCTTGTGGTTTAGAAGATATGATCATTTTATTGAATGATGCGTTAGTGCTGTTTTCTGTAACGAAAACTTTTTCAATAATTTGGAAGTCTTGATTTTATTTCCATTCTTAACAGAATGTTTTTAGACTGCCATTTTGAGTCTAGTTTCTAATAAAAATTATTTAAGAGCGAAATATACATGCAAAATAAAGAATAAAAATTTTTATTGGAGAGAGGTCATTCTGAATTTTTGCAGTTTGGTGTGTTTTCATTAAAATGTGAATAGCTATATTTATCAAGCCCATTTAACAAAATGATATGAGGCTTGCAGAAAGATATTTGTCGCCTTATTTGTATCTACTTTCAAACAATAGGGGTTTGAATAGGAAAATCATTGTGGGTTGACAGAAAAGGCAATTTTACTGGATAATGTTCATCGTGGAATGCTGCTGTATGATATATTTTGTGATGTGAATGCCACTTATTTATTTCTCTGAAGAAAAGTATTATTTATTATACTTTGGTTGAGTTTAGTTTGCAACAAAAAATATTTTAAGAACCAATTCTTTGAGGATTGACAGAAACAATTGTTTTATTGAGAGGTGCTTATATCAATCCATTATTTTCTCAAATGATGGATTCTCAATTGATCGGGCTTTAGGGAAACAATTCTCTATTTGGACTTAAATTCACTGATGGTCGTCATGTTTTTGGGAAAACAGGTTTCCATTTTGATTTGAAGACAAGTTCCAATTCTTTTAATTGTGGTGGCATGTATTAAGTTGTATGGTGACCAAGTTATCTTTGTCTTCCTTATTGGGATGTCTGGTAATTCTTTTTGCTTGATTTCACTAAAATAACTAGTTGAATGCTGCAGTGCATCTACAACAAAAGTTGGTTTCTCATATCCCACTCTATCTGAATATAGAAACTGAGTCCAGTTTGATTTAGGACTGCGTGGGGCCAGATCACTATTTTAGCAGATGTGAGATTGATTTGGTTTGATATTGTTTTTTAGAGGCTTGCTTTCATGAATATTGGCTCAATTTCTTAGGTGTTGTGACGTGCTTTTCATGGAGGCAATGATGCAGGCATGGATGGTACTATTTTGATGTTCTTCTTGAGATTGCTGATTTCTTTCTGGTCTATGCTGAACTATTTTCTATCAGTTGCATATAATTTATTGGATCATTGGCGCTAATCTCGACGAGTATATGAACTAGCTATTTTGACTGGATTGTAGTTATTTTGGGCGATCTACTGAATTCTCTCACTTTTAGTTATGTTCTTTTTGTTTAGGTTTTTCATTTGGTACTTGTGGCTTTTTGGAATGGTTGAAGATAGTCATGCGAGATTGCAATCACAACTTAAATTGGGGTTTTCTCTAGTTTTGGACAGCTTTTATGTTAATTGCAATCACAACTTAAATTGGGGTTTTCTCTAGTTTTGGGTAGCATTTATGTTACCTTCTTTTATATTCCACTTTCCATTCGACATTTTTAGTTCAGTTTAAATTTGGAGTTTCGGAGATGAGTGGCCATTATTGTTATTTGTTGGGGTTTTTGATTATAGGTGCATCAAAGATTTGAAGAATGGTATCTGTTTTTTGGTTCAATCAGATGGTATGTTTCTCAAATCATACCAGCGTGACCCACTCGAACATCAAGCCCGAAGAGATGGTCTCAGGCCTCGTACTATTGGGTTGGTTTTATTTGAGTCTGATTTCGAGTCTTAATTTTTGGAGGCATCTAGTATTAAACTCTCATCGTCTATCATGTCTGTTATGTCTAGGTACCATGGCGATCCTATCACCCTTTTTTTGCTAATTGATGGACGTGAAGTTCTTGTTTCTGGGTTGTGTTGGCCCTTATATTTTATTCCTTCAATGCCTCTTATTTTTTTCCTTGATTTTGTTATATAAACTCCAAAGTGATTGTGTTTGTAGTCAACTTGGGGAAGAAAGCACATATTGGAAGGGGGTCATTTTGTCTATTTGGTGATCAGTTTGGATTCTAACTGGTTTTATTTTGATTTTTGCCATTGTGACATGGAGATGTTCTTTTTGGATTTGGAGCTTTTTAAATGGCTTAAAGCTTTCATTTTCCTTTTTCTTGTTATTGATTTATGGTTTTACAGTTGGTTATTCTGGTTTGGGGCAAATTTCCTCCTATTCACCTCTGTCCCTGAATATTTTTAAATTCGTGGCATGGTATGGAACTATAGAGACTGAATGTCCTGATCGCCTCAAGTTTGCTGTTTTGATACTACGAGTAGTTTGTCACATTGCATTGCATTGTTCCCATGGCTCTGTGTTGTCCTGGAATTAAACTGGTGTTCTATGTGGTGTTCAGTGATTGTCTTAACGGTTCCGAATTTTGGATCTCTCTTGTTCAACTATTCAAAACCAATAATTGTTTGTGATGTTCTTTGTTTCTTGGTTTTTTTCTTATGACTTTTTTCGTTTTATTTGTTCCTTAGTGACCTTTCCTAGGTTCTCTTATAGTTCTCTATGGTTCATGTATTTGAATTGTGTTGTCCGGTTTATATTTTTTAGCTAGTGTGTTTTATTTATGAATCTTTTATGATTTGTGCTTTTTCTGATTATTTAGCGGATTTAAGTTTTTATTTTAAGTTTGTGCTAATCTTTGTCTTTGCACTCTTTGGATTTTTTAAAATGTTGCTAATGATGGTGGTTTTTTGTTTGTAATTATTTTTTTTGTGCATCTCTTAACTATTAATTTTTGGGTTTCTTAATTTTTTAGGGAGGATCAATCCTTCCTGATTCTTGAGTTAATTTGGTTTCTTGGAAATTGAAATCACAGAGTTTCTTAGGGGGCCTTCTCATTTTTTTTATGTTTAATACCTTGGGTATTTTCTTTCTTTCTTAGCCTTTTTGCGTGTATTTTTCGTTCATCCTTTATACTTGAAAGAGTTTCACCTTTCTTCTTTTAGAAATATTTATTTTGTTCTTTTCTAAATCTTTGAAATAGGGTTGTGTTTGTAGTACTATAGTAGGATGTCTATTTTAAGGATTTTGATTCTAATAAGGGCTTTTTGTTGTTATTTTAGTTTTTCCATTTGCACTTCCCTATTTTTATTGGTGATTGCAGAGTAAATGATGCTAATGGTCAATTACAGTGTTATTATCCTATGAAGGTTGAATCTGAAGAATTTTTTGTAGTAGTTTTGGGTGTTCATTGAATTAATTTTTTTGTAATTCTTTGTTGGTTGATGGATGTCAACTTGATTTTAGGGAACAACAATCTATGCTCACCATTTGTTAACATGGATAGTTCTTTATGTAGGACCTCGACTTTGTGTTCCTCAATGACATTCCTCTTTTGTTCACTGTTTTTTTTTGCTTACAGTGCCCGCTATTGGGTTTGTAGTTTGTCAAAATTGGATGTGATTCGAGTTCATGGGTCTCAAAACAACGCTCTTAATTTTAGGGATATTGGTCCATCTGCTTCTAAAGTTGCATGATTGCATCTCCAGTTCTCTCAATGTCGGAAGTTTTTCGTAGCTTTTGGTATGAACTTGATCTTGATGATTTTTGGGAAGTGGTTCTTTTATTGAATATGCTTTGTTTTTGTTGGGCCATTAGTTTGCTGTTCATTTTGATCTATAGATTTTTTTTGCGTCTGCAACATTTTTTTATCGGATGGGCTAAGGCACAGATGTTTAGTTGCGACTGGTGTCTTCAACATGTTGGAATGCTGGTGTCTAGTCATGGATTCGCTTATGATTATTACCCCTCATAGGGTTCAAAACTCTTCCCATTTTAATTCTATCTCCTAATGTTCTAGTTTGAGGCCTTTATTTGGTTATATGGTGATGATGATAGCATGAGAATGATTTCTTTCATTTTATGGGGTGAATGATTGTAGGTAATCCATCATGGAGGAAAATTGGCCGACTACCTTGACTGGTGTCTTCAACACGTTGAAATGCTGGTCTCTAGTTATGGATTCACCTATGATTATTACCCCACATGGGGTTCAAAACTCTTCTTGATGACCTTTGGGAAGTGGTTCTTTTATTGAATATGCTTTTTTTTAATGGGCCATTCGTTTGCTGTTCATTTTGATATATTGATGTTTTCTGCGTCTGCAGTGTGTTTTAATCGGATGGGCTGAAGAACAGATGTTTAGTTGTGATTGGTGTCTTCAACATGTTGGAATGCTGGTGTCTAGTCATGGATTCGCTTATGATTATTACCCCTCATAGGGTTCAAAACTCTTCCCGTTTTAATTCTATATCCTAATGTTCTAGTTTGAGGCCTTTATTTGGTTATATGGTGATGATGATAGCATGAGAATGATTTCTTTCATTTTATGGGGTGAATGATTGTAGGGAATCTATCATGGAAGAAAATTGGCCGGCTACCTCATTGACTTTCGTCACTGTTGGATTTTGAGCCTAAATTGGTGTGATTACCTCTCAGTCATATCTCATTTGGTTGACTTTCTTTTGGAAGCTCTTTCATTCAAATTATAGTAGCCAAGTATCTGTTGAACTATTGTATGCTTAGGGCTGTGTTCAACTGTTCTCCCTGAAGCAATTTTTTGTGAAGACAAATGCAATATTATTTGATGTTAGGTGTGGCTGTTTGATTTGATCCATCACTTTTGGGATTTTTTTCTTTTCTCCTGTCCTTTCTGTTATTTGGTCGACATATTTGTTTGGGAATTTTGGGCAGAATCAGTGTGGTATAGTGATATACGTTTGCTCTTTGATTGTGAATTCTTCGTTTGCATTGATTGTTCTCCTTAGGTACGATGGTTATTTGCCCTTGTGATCGGTGGCACATATTGGTGCCCTTGTAGCTGGTGGCACACATTGGACCGTTTTAAGTTTGTTCACTAGCAGTGTGGTTTGATTTATCTGGATTCAACTTTGGACTTTCTTTCTTGTTGGCTAGCCTTGAATTGGTCTTTGTTAAAATCTTATGTCCTGGCGGTTCTGTAGGTGGGGGATCTATATATGCATTTGTTGTTTGTCCAATGGGCTCCATGGCATACATCTCTTTTGGGCGGGCTCTATTTGGTTTTTTTGGATTCTAGTAAAGTGTTTTGGATCTCTCATAGGTATATACACTGGCTGTTGTTATGTTTAGGGCTTAGGGTGCACCCTGGTGCTAGCAACTATATTTCTTAGCTAACTTATATTTCAGGGATCGGGGGGGGGGGGGGGGGGGGTGGAGAAGAGATATGGTGATGTTGTCTGTTCGCTCTTTTCTTTTTTATTTGGTTAGGTTCAGTTTGGTATAGTGATATAGTTTTTGCTCATTAGTTGTAAATGGTTATATGTTGATTGTGAAATCTTGATTTGTATCGATTGTTCTCCTTACGTACCATGATGATTTGCCCTTGTAATTGGTGGGGAACACATTGGATTCTTTCGAGTTTGGTGTCTAGCAGTGTAGTTTGATTTATTTGGACCCAACTTCGGACCTTCTTTCTTGTTGTCTAGCATAGAGTTGCTCTTTGTTAATTATATGATTATACACTTGTGTCCCGCGATGCTGTAGGTAGGGGAGCTATATACCAATCGGTTGTTTGCCCAATGGGATCCATTGCATACGATAGCTGTGTGGGCTCTATTTAGTATGGTTTAATTATAGTTTAGTGTTTTGGATCTCTCAAAGGTATATACATTCGCTGTTATGTTAGGGGTTTAGGCTGCATCATGGTGGTAGCAACCTTATTGTTAGTTGATTTGTATTTCAGTTTCTTGTTGCATTTTGCTGGATGACTGGCAGTTGGGTTTCTATATGCTTTCTGACGGGAACATGCAGACTGTTTTGGGTGAGACTGTGAAGTCTTAGTTTGTAATGATTATTTTCCTTTGGTACCATGGTGATTGGTCCTTGCTGGAGGTGGCACACATGGAGCCGTTTCGAGTTTTTTATTTTGCAGTGTGGTTTGATTTATCTGGATTCAACTTTGGACCTTTCTTGTTGGCCAGCCTAGAGTTGCTCTTTTATAATTATATGATGATACTATTACGGTCTGGCGTTGCTGTAGGTGGGGGAGCTATATATCAATTGGTGGTTTGCTTAATGGGCTCCATGGCATACGGCTGCTGGGTGGGCTCCATTTGGTATGTCTAAATTATAGTGAAGTGTTATGGATCTCGCTGATGTATATACATTGGTTGTTGTTATGTTAGGGGATTTGGCTGCATCATGTTGCTAGCAACCATAATTTTTGTTGATTTGTATTTGAGTTTCCTGTAGCATTTTTGTTGGGTGGCTGGTGGTTAGGTTTCTATATGCTTTCTTGCTGGAAGATATGTGGACAATATGACGTGTCGAGAGTGCCAAGACCATTCAAATGTCAGAAACATGTGTACCATTTATGGAGCTCTGTTGAATGGGCACAAGTTATCCTTGATATCTTTGAATATCAATTTTATCGATGATACACTCTCTATTGGCTTTCTGCCTGATCTTATGAGGTGTGTAGGTAGTTCCATCCTTGGGGTCTCTAACAGTGACTCTTCTGGACCAGAAGCGCCAACACAAATGGATTGGGGTTTGGTGCACGTGGTTATTAATTGAGATCCGGTTGCAAAAGATGGTTCGATCTGTATCTTGCCTTTACCTATTTGACTTGAAGTTGTCTGAGTTGTCTAGTGTTGGATTGATTCTTCCAGCGACCTTTTGGTTTCAGATGGAATGAGCATGAAAAGTTACCTGAGATATTTATTTATTGGATTTTCAGAGATCAGAGGTGGAAGAGAAGGGATATGGTGATGTTGTCCGTTCTCTCTTGACTTTTTTATGGGTCGGGATCAGTTTGGTTCAATGTTATAATTTTTGCTCATTGGTTGTAAATGTTTATATGTTGATTGTGAAATCTTGATTTGTATTGATTGTTCCCCTTAGATAGCATGATAAACACATTGGACTGTTTCGAGTTTGTTGTCTAGCAGTGTGGTTTATTTTATTTGCACCCAACTTTTGAACTTCTTTCTCAACTTTTGAACTTCTTTCTTCTTGTCTAGCCTAGAGTTGCTCTTAGTTAATTATATCATTATATGCTTGTGTCCCTCGATGCTGTAGGTGGGGGAGCTATATATCAATCAGTTGTATGCCCAATGGGATCCCTTGCATACGGCTGCTGTGTCGGCTCAATTTAGTAAGGTTTAATTATAGTTTAGTGCCTTGGATTTCTCAAAGGGTATGCATTGGCTGTTATGTTAGGGGTTTAGGCTGCAGCATGGTGGTAGCAACCATGTTGTTAGTTGATTTGTATTTCAGTTTCTTGTTTCATTTTGCTAGATGACTGGCGGTTGGTTTTCTCTATGCTTTCTGACTGGAACAAGCGAACAGTTTGAGGTGATGGGAGCGCCGGGAACATCGTTTAGCATTTATAGTGCTATGATGAAGGGTCGTAAGTTATTCGTGATCTCTTTGGATGTCAATTTCATTGATGATACATTCTATATTGGTTATCTGTCTGATCTACAAGGTGTCTTGGTAGCTGCGTGTTTGGTGTATGTTACAGTGAACTCTCCATTGGTGGACCAGGAGCGCCAACACACAAGGAATGTGGACGGGTACATTAATTTGTTAATTGAGAACTGGTTGCAAAGTGAAAGATGGTTTGATCTGTGCCCCGTGTCCTGACCTTTCATGTGAATTGTAGTTTTTTGAGTTTAGTGTTGGATTGATTTATACATTCTTTTAGTCACCGTTTGGTCTGAGATATAAAGAGGATAAAAAGATAACTGAGATATGCATTTTTTGGTTTTTCAGATATTGGAGGTGTGGAATAAAGGGGATTTGGTGGTTTTGTTCTTTCACTCTTTAATTTTTTATTGGCGGTTCCTTTTATTCAAGATTTTGTTTAGTTGAGCACCTATAGGAGCTGTTGTATATTGGTCCATCATTATACTCGATGCTATTCTCTCTCTTTAAATAAGCTCTTTGCAATATGTTGTTTTTGTTACTTTGGTATCTGGGCTTTACCTCTTTATTCTATGTTTATTTTGTTTTCCTTGAGATTTGTGTTTGTATAGTTTGATTATCATCTTTGGCTTCAGTACATTTTGTTATATGTTTTTTTTTTATTTGTGAATGTGAATTCTTAGTTTGCATTGATTATTCTCCTTAGGTACCATGGTGATTGGTCCTTGCAAACGGCGCGGTACACATGGAGCCGTTTCGAGTTTGTTATTTAACAGTGTGGTTTGATTTATCTAGATTCAACTTTGGACCTTTCTTGTTGGGTAACCTAGAGTTGCTCTTGTAGCCTGGCGATGCTATAGGTGGGGGAGCTATTTATCATTTGATGGTATGCTTAATGGGCTCCATGGCATACGGATGCTGGGTGGGCTCCATTTGGTATGTCTAAATTATAGTGTAGTGTTATGGATCTCTCAGATGTATATACGTTGGCTGTTGTTATGTTAGGGGTTTTGGCTGCATCATGTTGCTAGCAACCATATTTTTAGCTGATCTATATTTGAGTTTTCTGTAGCATTTTATTGGGTGGCTGGCTGTTAGGTTTTTATATGTTTTCTTTTCAGAAGATAACTGGACAGTATGAGGTGATGAGAGTGCCAAGAACATTTAAATATCAGAAACATGTGTACCATTTATGTAGCTTTTCTAGTGTTGGATTGATTCTTCCAGCGATCTTTTGCTTTCAGATGGAATGAGCATGAACAGTTACCTGAGATATTTATAGGATTTTCCTATAGCATTTTATTGGGTGCCTGGCACTTAAGTTTCTATATGCTTTCTTGCAGTAAGATATGTGAAGAGCATGAGGTGATGAGAGTGCCAAGAACATTCAAATATATGAAACATGTATACCTTTTATGGAGCTCTGTTGAATGAGCGTAAGTTATGCTTGATTTCTTTCGATGTCAATTTCATGACTGATACACTCTCTATTAGCTTTCTGCCTTATCTATGAGTTGTGTAGGTAGTTCCATCCTTGGGGTTTGTGACAGTGACTCTTCTGGACAAGAAGCGCCAACATAAATGGAATGGGGTCGGGTGCACATGGTTATTAATTGAGATGTGGTTGCAAAAGACGGTTTGATCTGCCTCTTGCCCTGCCCTATTTGACTTGCAGTTGTCTGAGTTGTCTAGTGTTGGATTGATTCTTCCAGTGACCTTTTGGTTTCAGATGGTATGAGCATGAAAAGTTAACTGAGATATTAATTTGTTGGATTTTCAGAGATCGGAGGTGGAAGAGAAGGGATATGGTGATGTTGTCTGTTTGCTCTTTACTTTTTTGTTGTTCGGGATTAGTTTGGTACAGTGATATAGTTTTTGCTCATTGGTTGTAAATGTTTATAGGTTGATTGTGAAATCTTGAATTGTATTGATTGTTCTCCTTAGGTACCGGGATGATTTGTAATCAGTGGGGAACACATTGGACTGTTTCGAGTTTGTTGTCTAGCAGTGTGGTTTGATTTATTTGGACCCAACTTTGGACCTTCTTTCTTGTTGTCTAGCCTAGAGTTGCTCTTTGTTAATTATATGATTATACGCTTGTGTCTCAAGATGCTGTAGGCGGGGGAGCTATATATCAATCGGTTGTTTGCCCAATGGTATCCATTGCATACGGCTGCTGTGTGGGCTTTATATTATATGGTTTAATTATAGTTTAGTGTTATGGATCTCTCAAAGGTATATACATTGGCTGTTATGTTGGAAGTTTAGGCTGCATCATGGTGGTAGCAACCATATTGTTAGTTGATTTTTATTTCAGTTTCTGGTTGCATTTTGCTGGATGACTGGCTGTTGGGTTTCTATATGCTTTTTGACTGGAACATGCGTATTGTCTGAGGTGACGGGAGTGCTAGGAACATCGTTTACCTTTTATACAACTTTGATGAATATTCGTAAGTTATCCTTGATCTCTTTGGATGTCGTTTTCATTGATGATACATTCTATATTGATTTCTGCCTGATCTACGAAGTGTCAGAGTAGCTCCCCACTTTGGTGTCTGTAACAGTGAACTCTCCAATGGTGGACCGGGAGTGCCAACACACATGGAATGGGGACGGGGTACAATGGGTTGTTTATTAAGAACTGGTTGCAAAGTGAAAGATGGTTTGACTTGTGCCTCTTCTCTTGACCTTTCATGTGAATTGTAGTTTTTTGAGTTTAGTGTTGATTTTGATTTATACGAGTGCTGGGAACATCGCTTACCATTTATAGAGCTCTGATGAATGACCGTAAGTTATCCTCGATATCTTTGGATGTCAATTTCGTTGATGATACATTCTATATTGGTTTTTTGCGTGATCTACAAGGTGCCAGAGTTGCTCCGTCTTTGGCGTCTGTAACAGTGAACTCTCTAGTGGTGGACCAGGAGCGCCAACACTCCTGGAATGGGGACGGGTACATTGGGTTGTTAATTGAGAGTTGTTTCAAAGTGAAAGATGGTTTGATCTATGCTTCTTGTTCTGACCTTTAGTTTTTTGAGTTTAGTGTTGGTTTGATTTTTATTTTCTTTTAGTCACCGTTTGGTTTGAAATGGAAAGAGGATCTAAAGTACACTTAGATATGCATTTTTTGGTTTTTCAGATATTAAAGGTGTGGAATAAAGCGGATTTGATGGTGTTGTCCATTCACTCATTACTTTTTTATTGGTGGTTCCTTTTATTCAGGATTTTCTTTAGTTGAGCTCCGGTAGGAGCTGTTTTATATTGGTCCATCACTATACTCAATACTATTCTCTCTCTTGATTTAAGCTCTTGACAATATGTTGTGTTTGTTACTTTGGTATCTGGGCGTTACCTCTTTATTCTTTGTTTATTTTGTTTTCCTTGAGATTTATGTTTGTATAGTTTGATTATCATCTTTTTCTTCGGCACATTTTGTTATCTGTTTTTTTTTGATTTGTGATTGTGAAGTCTTGTTTGCGATGATTCTTCTCCTTATTAGGTACCATGGTGATTGGTCCTTGCAGACGGTGGCACACATGGGGCAGTTTCGAGGTTGTTGTCTAGCAGTGTGGTTTGATTTATCTGGATTCATCTTTGGACCTTTCTTGTTGGCTAGCCTAGAGTCGCTCTTTTTTATATATATGATGATACTCTTGCGGCCTGGCGATGCTGTAGGTGGGGGAGCTATATATCTATTGGTTGTTTGCTTAACTGGCTCCTTGGCATACGGCTGCTGGGTGGGCTCCCTTTGGTATGTCTAAATTATAGTGAAGTGTTATTGATCTCTCAGATGTATATACCTTGGCTGTTGTTATGTTAGGGGTTTTGGCTGCATCTTGTTGCTAGCAACCGTAGTTTTTGGTGATCTGTAATTGAGTTTCTGCAGCATTTTGTTGGGTGGTTGGCAGTTCTATCTGCTTTCTTGCTGGATGATATGTGGAATGTATGAGGTGACGAGAGTGCTAAAAACATTCAAATATCAAAAACATGTGTACCATTTATGGAGCTTTGTTGAATGGGCGTAGGTTATGCTTGATTTCATTGGATGTCAATGTCGTGTATGAGGTGTGTTGGTAGTTCCATTCTTGGGGTTTGTAATAGTGACTCTTCTGGACCAGACGCGTTAACACAAATGGAATGGGCTGGGGTGCACATGGTTATTAATTGAGATCTGGTTGCAAAAGATTTTTTGATCTGCCTCTTACCATTACCAATTTTACTTGCGGTTGTTTGAGTTGTCTAGTGTTGGATTGATTCATCCAGCGACCTTTTGGTTTCAGATGAAATGACCATGAAAAGTTACCTAAGATATTTATTTTTTTTATTTTCAGAGATCGGAGGTGGAAGAGAAAGGATATGTTGATGTGGTCCGTTCTCTCTTTACTTGTTTGTTTGTCGAGATCAGTTGGGATGGGATCAGTTTGGTACAGTGTTATAGCTTTTGCTCATTGGTGGTAAATGTTTATTTATTGATTGTGAAATCTTGATTTGTGTTGATTGTTCTCCTTAGGTACAATGATGATTTGCCCTTGTAATTGGTGGGGAACACGTTGGACTGTTTCGAGTTTGTTGTCTGGCCATGTGGTTTGATTTTTTTGGACCCAACTTTGGACCTTCTTTCTTGTTGTCTAGCCTAGAGTTACTCTTTGTTAAGTATATATGATTATATGCTTGTGTCCCGCTAAGCTGTAGGTGGGGAAGCTATATATTGATCGGTAGTTTGCCCAATGGGATACTTTGCATACATTTGCTCTGTGCTCTATTTAGTATGGTTTAATTATAGTTTAGTGGTTTGGATCTCTCAAAGGAATATACAAGGGCTGTTATGTTGGAGGTTTGGGCTGCATCATGATGGTAGCAACCATATTGATAGTTTATTTGTTTTTCCGTTTCTTGTTGCATTTTGCTGGATGATTGGCAGATGAGTTTCTATGTGCTTTTTGAGTATAACATGCGGACTGTTTGAGGTGACGGGAGTGCCAGGAACATCGTTTACCATTTATAGAGCTCTAATGAATTGTCGTTAGTTGTCCTTGATCTCTTTGGATGTCAATTTCATTGATGATACATTGGATATTGGTTTTCTGCCTGATCTACGAGTTGTTGGGGTAGCTCTGTCTTTTGTGTCTCCAACAGTGCACTCTCCTGAGGTGGACCAGGAGCATCAACTCAGATTGATTGGTGACGGGAACATTGGGTTGTTAATTGAGAACTGGTTGCTAACTGAAACATGGTTTGATTTGTGCCTCTTGTCCTGACCTTTCATGTGAATTATAGTTTTTTGAGTTTAGTGTTGGTTTGATTTATACATTCTTTTAGTCACTGTTTGGTTTGAGAAGGAAAGAGGGGCAAAAGTCAACTGAGATATGCATTTTTGGGTTTTTCAGAGAGGATTTGGTGGTGTTGTCCATTCACTCTTTACTTTTTTATTGGTGGTTCCTTTTATTCAGGATTTTCTTTAGTTGGGCTTCTATAGGAGCTGTGGTATATTGGTCCGTCACTATACTCGATGTTATTCTCTCTCTCTAAATAAGCTCTTGACAATATGTTGTGTTTGTTACTTTGGTATCTGGGCGTTACCTCTTTATTCTATGTTTATTTTGTTTTCCTTGAGATTTGTGTTTGCATAGTTTGATTATCATCTTTGGCTTAAGCACATTTTGTAACCTTTTTTTATTTATTTGTGATTGTGAAGTCTTAGTTTGCAATGATTATTCTCTTTAGGTACCATGGTGATTGGTCCTTGCACACGGTGGTACACATGTGGCCGATTCGAGTTTGTTATCTTGCAGTGTGGTTTGATTTATCTGGATTCAACTTTGGACCTTTCTTGTTGGCTAGCCTAGAGTTGCTCGTTGTTAATTTTATGATGATACTCTTGCGGCCTGGCGATGCTGTAGGTGGGGAAGCTATATATGAATCGGTGGTTTGCTTAATGGGCTCCATGGCATACGGCTGCTGGGTGGGCCCGATTTGGTATGTCTAAATTATAGTGAACTGTTGTGGATCTGTCAAATGTATATATGTCGGCTGTTGTTATGTTAGGGGTTTTGGCTGCATCATGTTGCGAGCAACTATATTTTTAGCTGATGAGCATTTTGCTGGGTGGCTGGCAGTTAGTTTGTAATGATTATTCTCCTTAGGTAACATGGTGATTGGTCCTTACAGACGGTGGCACACATGGGCCCGTTTCGAGTTTGTTGTTTGGCAGTGTGGTTTGATTTATCTAGATTCAACTTTAGACCTTTCTTGTTGGCTAGCCTAGAGTTGCTCTTTGATAATTAGATGATGATAGTCTTGCAGCTTGGTGATGCTGTAGGTGGGGGAGCTATATATCAATTGGTGCTTTGCTTAATGGGCTCCATGGCATACGGCTGCTGGGTGGGCTCCATTTGGTATGTCTAAATTATAGTGATGTTTTATGGATCTCTCATATGTATATACGTTGGCTGTTGTTATGTTAGGGGTTTTCGCTGCATCATGTTGCTAGCAACAAAATTTTTAGCTGATATGTATTTGAGTTTCTTGTAGCATTTTGTTGGGTGGTTTGCAGTTAGGTTTCTATATACTTCTTGCTGGAAGATATGTGGACTGTATGAGGTGACGAGAGTGCCAAGAACATTCAAATATCAGACGCATGTGTACCATTATGGAGCTTTGTTGAATGGGCATAACTTATCCTTGATATGTTTGGATTTCAGTTTCATAGATGATGCACTCTATTGGCTTTCTGCCTGATGTATGAGGTGTGTAGGTTGTTCCATCTTTGGGGTTTTTAATAGTGAGTCTTTTGGACCAGAAGCACCAACACAAATGGAACCAGAAGCACCAACACAAATGGAATGGGGTCTGGTGCATATGGTTATTATTTGAGATCTGGTTGCATAAGATGGTTTGATCTGCCTCTTGCCCTGACCTATTTGACTTGCAGTTGTCTGAGTTGTCTAGCGTTGGATTGTTTCTTCTAGCGACCTTTTGGTTTCAGTTGCAATGGGCATGAGAAGTTATTCTTGAGATATTTATTCAATGGTTTTTTAGACATTGGAGGTGGAAGAGAAGGGATATGGTGATGTTGTTCATTCTCTCTTTACTTTTTATTTCGTCGGGATCAGTTTGGAACAGTGTTATAGCTTTTGCTCATTGGTTGTAAATGTTCATATGTTGGTAGTGAAATCTTGATTTGTATTGATTATTTTCGTTACACGATGATTTGCTTTTGTAATCAGTGGGGAAAA